AGAAGACTTTCATTTCATCCTGACCATTTTGTTTCTGTGATGTTTTGAATAAGAATGCTCCCCATATGCTCATATATTTGAATTTATATTCAGCAGGAAATGGCATTATTTGAAAGGATGGGAAGGATTAAAAGGTGTGGCCTTGTAGGAGGAATTATGTCACTGGGTGTGGGATTTGAGGTTTCAAAACTCCATGCCAAGTCATGCTCCCTGCCATGAACTAAGCCTCTGAACTGCAAACAAGCTCCCAATTAAATGTTTTCTTTTATAAGTGTGGTCGTGGTGCCTTTTCTCAGCAATAAAACAGTGACTAAGACATTTCCTTAATAGCTGCACATGAAAACAAGTGGAGATGAGATTTCTGGATTCCCTTGCATGGCAACCAGCTATGTAGAGACAGGGACCTTTAAACAAAGTATTGATTTACATTGTTCCAACATACCTTTAAGATAGAGCAGATAAGGAACCTTCTGCAAGGATTAAGGCAACAAATGTGTTGTTTATCATTCTTGGATAAACAAAGAATGCAGTGATTGGCTATGCCCAGCAGTCTTTGCAGCAACACAATTTCTACACCTGTGAGTACCCTGAGCATTTGTGGGTCATAAAAAGGAAATGGCAAGAAATTCTGCTATAAAATGGGTGATCATAACCGGAAGTAACTTGAATAGAAGTGATATGCAAAAGTAGCTTTTATTATTAATTTTCTTCTTTTTGTAATGTAAATGATCATTTATAGTAGGAATATTTTGATAGTAGCCCAAGATTTTTAAAATATCCCCATGAGCCAGTTATAAACTGTGATCATCAATTTCTTGGTGATTATACTGATTAAGGAAATCATTCATGTACTATATTTTTCATCTCAGATATTTTTCAAATGTCACTTAAGCCTCTTAAGCTTAAAAAACTTTGCTGTCAGTCGGTCCACACAGTAAATGTAAAACCGATGGCACAAACATTATGACTAGTTCCTCTTAGGACACAATTGATTTGTTTGAAGGCAGATGACATTATAACGTATAGTCAGGGTGTCAGGAAAGGGACTCGTGTGAGGCTTGATTTACTTAGCATCTTTGTCACTTTATAGATTGATATTTGATTGATGACAGCATTAATATAGAAAGTATGTTAATATTAGAACAGGCTTTAAGATTCCCTACGTGAGGATTCTCCCGCTCATCAAATTGCTATAATTTGGAATAAAATGCCCTAAGGATACAATGCTTCTGAGGGTTTCTAACCCACTTGATGTAAGCATTCTTTAAAAAAAAAGGAAAAAGTTAAATCAGTTTTATTGAAGTATTCTTCATATACAATAAAATGTGACCATTTTAAGTATACATCTCAATAACTTTAGACAAATTTATATGCCAGAGTAACCACCATCACAATCAAAGTATAAAACATTTTAATACCCTAAAAGTTCTCTTTGGTCCCAATTCCCACTCTCCCTTAGCCATAACCAACCAAATATTAAACTATTTTTGTCACCATAAATTGGGTTTCTCCTTTCTGGGGTTTTATATAAAGCCATCTGGCTTCTTTCATGCAACACAATCCTCTTGAGATCCATCCTTGTGACTGAATGGATCAGTAGGGTTTTCTTGTGGTGAGGAACTTATGGTAGTATATTGGGTTTATATTGCTTGTGCCTTTTCAACCGTCGATACACTTGGTTTGTTTACATATGGAGATTATTATAAAGGAAATTACTTTATATATTTGTCAGTTGAAGGTGGGGTTTAAATGAGTTCACCAGATCCAAGATAAATGATAAATGTGTTTTATTGGGGAAGGCCTTACACAGATAAGAGTAAATAACCACCGAAGCCTTCCTGCTCCAAAAGGAGTCACATCTGCACCTGAAACCATGCCCAAAGGGTGTCGCCACTACTACAAGTTCAGTGGCAAGGCAAGATGCCCCTACAGTTAGTAAGTCTTATGTGACCTGGATTTGTTGTTGTTGTTGTTGTTGTTAGAGAAAGAGTCTTGCTAAGTAGCCCAGGCTGGCCTTGAACTTGTGATACTCTCACATCAGCCCCATAAGTGCTGGGGTTATAGGCAAGCTTCATCATACCCACAATGAGTAAGTTTCTGCATGGGCCCATGTTTCTACCTCTCCATACATAGAAATAGTGCAGTGCAATTACGATTTGAACTTGAAATGCTTCCTGTGAGCTCATATTTTGAATACTTGGTCCTCTAGTGGATAGCTCTTTGGGGGAAGCTGAGGAGTCTTTGGAAGATGGTACTGGTTGATGAAACCAGGTCACTTATAAGGCAGACCTTGAATGACCTCAGCTTGCACTTTCTCTGTCTGGGCCATAGGAACAGATTCTGCTTCATCCCGTGCCATTAGACAATGTCAGAACATCTTCCTCTACCACGCCTTCCTTGCAGTGATGGACTGAACTCTACCTTTGAAACAATGAGTTCAGATAAGATTTCTGTCCTTGAATTGTTTCTGTCAAGTAATTTGGTCATTGAGTCAGAAAAGCAATGAACACAGTGGGGTACAACATAGCCACAGATTTAATTTCATAAGAAACTTTCAAATTGCCTTAACAAGAAGTTGAACAATCCTATATTCTCATCGGCAGTGGACAGAATCTCAGTTATTTCATACATATTTGCATACACCTGATGCTGCCATTTTTTAATTATTTAATTTTATTTTATTTTGGTCATTCTCAGGGCAGTGTAGTGACACCTGATCATGGGTGACAATGAATGACTTCAAGCATCTTCTCATGTCCTTATTTATTGTTCATATACCTTCTGCTATGCACTCATATCTTTAGTTCATTCTTTAAGAAGAATGGGTATAGTCAAATATGTCAGCTATATATTATATATTGTATTTTTTTCTTCAGGTTGAATCTTGCCTTTTAATTTTTTAACATTGTCATTTAAATGCCAATGTGTGTGCACTTAGAGGAAAAACATTTTTAATATGATGTCTATTTCTTTGTTTCTCCACAGCTTCAAACTTTGAACGCAGTGCAAATGTCAACCCCATAGTGAGTCTTCATTTATTGACAAACTGAGAAGGGAAAAAATAAACACATTAGCTCTGAACTTAGAGCTCTTTTAAAGGTTGACATTGTGATCCCTTCAAGTAAATTATGCAAATGTTTAAAAGCAGGCCACAAGGTAGAAAACGTACTAGGAAAAAAAAAACCCTGTTCTTCCCATTTCATACGAAATAATCTGAGGGGTCAAAAACTGAAGACTGTGGCCTCAGGTAATGAAAATGGCCAGGGCAGAGAGGGAAGAACAGCGAGACTAATTGTTCACAGTGATGGGTCTAATCCAAGCCCTTTGGGGTCCATGCCTAGTGCTCAAACCCACTGAGCTAAATAATTACAGCAAGGCTGGGGCCTGAAGGGACCAACCCAGGTCCTGCCACTGACTCTCTTCATTTCACTTTGCTTCCTCTGTAAGCTCTCCGTTACTGACTCCTCTGCCTTTGTGTGTGTCTTCATTCAGGTGTGTTTGGTTTGCAGATCTTTCTCTCTCCCCTTCCCTCCTTCCTCCTTCTCCTCCAGTTTTTGTCCTCTCCCTCCTTCCTTTCCCTCCCCTTCCTCCCTTTCTTTTATTACTAACTGAAGCTGATTTTCATGCTGTGCAGGTAAGTTACATTTGCTTAGGTCTGTACAATCTTTTGGTTGTGGTGAAACCGAAAGCAAAGACCATTTGATGCAAGCCCTGGTGTAGGCTGAGGTTCCGGCTGATGAGCTGTGTCCACACTGAAAATATACTGCTGACTTCAGGGAAACTCATATATTCTCTAAATATTTTTCTGTTGTATTCTATTTACTAGACACGATCATTTTATTGCTACTGAACTCTTGATAAGACAGCAGCCGCCTGAAAAGATCTAAAGTACTAACTCATACAAATCACATAAAAAATATACATATCCTGTTTCTAATGCATATTATACACTGTTTAAATGTCTTACATTTGTTTCATTTTGTAGTAAAAACCTGGGCAAAATGTCATGATACCACGGTATAGAAGTGACACACATACCTTGATACTAACCAACAGTTCTCTAATTGGGCATAAGACCTCCCTCAACAGGAGGTAGACCGTGTCTGGTGCTAGAAACCTAGCTAAATACTCAGTGGAGTCATGGTTATTGTAGGAGAAGCTACAACCTCTAATTTACTAAAGTAGCACAATCCCTGACAGCAATCTGTAAACACTTGTTCTTATAACCACAGACAAGTGTAACAGCTTTATTGAGCTATAGTAAGTCCTACACGGATCTGCACATACTCTAAGTGTGTAAACATCAAATTCGTATTTCGCATTTCAAACACCTATGAAACTGGCCACACTCAAGATCACAAACTTACCCCTTTGCAAAGCTCTCTTCCTCCATCTCTCTGCCTCCTGGCCCCAGTCAAGCACATGTGGTTTCTAATAGATCAGTTCATGTTCCCCAGAGTCTCGCACAGTTGAATTGCAGTTTGTACTCCTCCTTTGTTTTCTGGTCTGACTTACTTCAATTAGCCTGTTTATATTGAGGTCCCCTGTGTTATTGAAAAGGTCAGTTTATTCTTTTTTTCTTCTCTCACATTATTCCATTGTATCTATGTGCCACAATCTGTTTATTGTACCTATAGGTGGTTGTTTGAGTTGTTTTAAGACCAGACTGGGAGAAAATATATACAAAGCATATATTTGATAAAAAGACTTCATCATTTCCCTAAATTCAATAAGAAAACAACTATCATGATTTTAAACAACATATTTTGTTTTCAACAGAGTCTGGTAACTTCTTTCTGTCCATGAAGGAGTTAGCATTTAGTCACCTTCCTATGCTTCCTCCTTCCTCTTTTTCATCGTTATATTATTGTATCTATGATGTCAGCATCTAGAGCATTTTATATACTACACACACACACACACATACACACACACATACACACATATGCACACACATGCACACACACACACACACACACACACACACACACATATATATATATATATACTTTAAATAGTACTCATGGCTGTCTTCCTCCATACCATTTCCATTTTTACATCTTAAATTTTTACTTTTCATCACCTGCCAGGTTCTTTTCAGAAAACTACTTTGTTTGAGCAGGGCTCACAATACTCTGTTCTCCAAATTTTTCTGGCTTAATCATAGCTTCCAGTAGCCATTATTCTTTTACATGTATGGTACTGGATACTGAATCCTGGACCTCACACATACTAGGCAAGCACTCTACCACTGAGCAATACCCTAGCCCCCTCTCCCTTTCTTTTTTCATTCATTCTTTTGAAGCAGGGTCTCCCTAAGTAGCTCAGCAGCCTTTGAACTCCCTATAGCCCAGATAGGCCTGAACTTATGATCCTCCTGTCTAAGCCTTTGGACTAGCTAGGATTTCAGGCATATGCCACTGGGTCCAGCTCATTATTCTTTATTTAGTTTTAGGCATATACCTTCTATGAAATCTCAGCCAGGTATGTAGTATTTTGAAAGTTAGTCCTGTGTGGACTTTAAGACTAGATTTCTCAACCCTTGCTCTTCATTGAAATGGCACACAATTGTGTAGCTATTATCATTTGATAATTATTTCTGTGGCTAATTTTCAATGATCTTTGCAGAAGCTGTCTCTCTTCAAAGTTAGTGTCTTGCCTGTCTAGTCCCCAGTAACTCCAAGCACACTACATTGGATTATTTGTTTAATAAACACCTGTTAAGGAATTGAAGTACTAGCAGTAAATATAAATAGACAGCAGCAACAAAAAGCTCACCTCCTATGAAACATATTCTGATAGAGACAGACTGGAAATAAACACACATATTACATAGGGTGCTTTAGAAAAAAGTCGTGTTTTATATATCTCTGTATTTGTGTATATTGTCATTAAAATGCTTATATGTCAGTGTTTTTGAAAAATATAAAACTTCAAAAGCATTAAAATGTACCTTATTTAGAGTATTTTAAAGATAAATAGGGAAGGATTATAGCCTTAGCAAAAGTCACATAAGTCACTTATTATAATATAATTATAATAATCATGTCGTTTCAATGAAAGGTGAAGGTTGATTAACATAATCTTAAAGTCCTGGAAAGACTCACTTTTAAAGCACCAATTGTCAGGCTGATACCTGGTGGAAGGTCAGTGGATATGCTAGGAATCAGGGACTGATAAATATAGTGGTTGGAAATTCCTGCAAAGTAACATTTAAGAAAATACTTGTTTTTCTCTTATAGTACTTGGCATCAAACAAAAGCACTCTACTTTTGGCCATACTTCAGCCCTTGTTTTATTAAGATAAAAAAAACATAACTATGCAGCCCAGGCTGGCCTCTGATTTGCTGTGTATAAAAAGCACAGGTTGTCCCAGAACTCAAGTTTCTTTTTCTTCAGCTCCTCAAGCGCTAATGTTAGCTGGAATGCTCCATCCCCCGAACTTAAGAGAATGCTTACAGAAGACAGTGTGTGCTTAGGACCGTGGTGAAGACAGGAAGGGGGTTAAACAGGCGTTCACGGATTGGAACAGGGGAAGGATGCAGGTGAGTTTAGAAATGATGCCGAGTTCTACCATTGCATCGTCCACACAGCCAGGACTTCATATCAACTTGGTAGCATGGATGCAATTTTGACTCTCTGGTTCATGTCTATCATTTGCCCATCCTTGTTCCTAGCCAAAAAAAGTACAAACTGTAGAAAGGTCCATAGGCCTTGTGGGGTCACTAGACCATGGCCACAACGTAGGACCAAAAAGTGGGAAGAAACTGTTTAAATCAAGAATTCTAATGAAAATTCTCCAAGGGGAAGGATATTCCATTTTCCTCTTTATTTATTCCAGAACAGGGAAGCTGAGGAGAATCTATTCATGTGTGTGGGGGTGTGTGGGGGTGTCTAACATCAAGTTTCTTCCTCAATTGTTGTCCACCTTATATTTAAGATAGCTTTTCTCACTGAACCTGGTGCCTGATGCTAGGCTGATTGATCAGGAAGCCTTGGGGAGGCTCTCATACTATTGACAAATTAATGAAATTCTGATACATCTTTTGTTTGCTGTTTCCCTTACTCATTAATGTGAATGAAAGCAACAACTGGCATTTGTATCAGAACTAAGCTCATTTGTGGGAACACCAGACCTTGAGTAGAGACCCACTTCCCCTTCTGCCTGGGAGTAGGCAGCTGTAAGACAATGTTTAGTAAAAACATGTTTACTAAAAACGATACAATAAGTTCCTGGCCACTTCCCCTTCTGCCTGGGAGTAGGCAGCTGTAAGACAATGTTTAGTAAAAACATGTTTACTAAAAATGATACAATAAGTTCCTGGGAAAGGCCTTCCCACAGAAACCGCCCTGACCTCGACCTTGTCCAAAGACTAACCGCACCTTCAAAAACCCACACACATCCACCTCTGGGTCAGAGCAGAACCAGCCAGGGGAGAGGAGAGAGCAGAGGCTTCTCTGGTGGGAGCCTTTCTTAGGAGGTTTTCTTGAACCTTTTTGGAGCCTGTTTAAAGTTCTCTTTATATCATTGAACGAGTCTCTGTGTTATCAATACCCGACACCCTCCGCACGTTCTCGGACACAGGCCACAGAGCAGACGTGACAATTGGAGGTCCCACCGAGATTGTGAAAGTGAGGTAAGTGGACGGGGTTAAGAAACTATGGGGAATAGTTCCGGGAAGCTAGAATCATTGCAGTATCAACTAAAAAAGTTACTTAAAGAACATGGGACTGCAGTCAAGTCTAAAACCCTAGAAGGCTTTCTAAAATCGATCGAACGAGCCAGTCCATGGTTCATTACTGGGGAAAGCTTAAATATTCCAGATTGGGAGGAGGTTCGCCGTGATCTTCATAGACTTTTACGAAAAGAGGGATCTGAGTCCTTGCCCCCTACGACATTCTCCTTATGGAGATTAGTGAGGGGAGCACTTTTGACAGATAAGGTTCGTCACCGCCAGGTAGTTCAGGACACAAAAGAGGCTTTTTTAGAGTTACAAGAGACTGAGACTCAAGCCTCCTTGAGTTCAGGGGCAGAGAGTGATGATGAAGAGACCGTAATTGAAACTAGAGGCTCCATTGTTAGTGAGGATGAGGAGGAGTCTCTTAGTAACAACAAAAAAACGGGTAGACATCTCCGGGCGCGACCCAAAAAGAAGGACTCCGGTCAGAATCGGTTATATTCTTCTCTATCAGACCTAGAAAATGGAAGTAGCTCAGACTCAGACTCGTCACAGTCTGAAAAGGAACGGTTACTTGCTGAGATCGCGGCCCTTAAAAAAGAACTAAAAAAGATTCTAATTAAGGAAAGACAGGACAGGGAGAGAAACCCTTCCCCATACTCTAAAAAAAGGGACTCCTCCTATGAGATAACCCAGTCCTTCTTGGACCTGGAGGGAAGACCCAGAGGAGGGGTCCAATGCTGCCCGGTGGTGGCCCCGGTAATGGAAGTTCCAGACCCAAACAATTCTCGACAGGTCATTCGGCGCCATGACCCTTTAAGTTTCAAAGATATAAAACAACTGAAAGAGGCAACTTTAAATTATGGAGCACAGGCTCCCTTTACACTTTCCTTAATGGAATCTTTTGCGTCTCTTAATTTGACACCTGGCGATTGGCAGCAGCTTTGCAGAGCAGCTCTGTCGGGGGGAGATTATTTGATTTGGAAAGGTGAGTTTCAGAAAAGATACAGCCAGACAGCCCAAAGAAATACACAGGCCGGACAGCCCCAGAGAAATGTGGAGATGCTTACAGGAAGTGGTCAATATGCCACCATTCAGCAACAAATGCAATATGACATCGCAGTCTATGCCCAAGTGGCAGCAGCAGCCCAAGGGGCTTGGAAAGCATTGCCTTCCAAGGAAGGAGGGGATCATCTGTCCAAAGTCCTTCAAGGACCTTCCGAACCTTTTCAAGACTTCGTAGACCGTCTCAGTCAGGTAGCAGAAAGAATATTTGGGGGCATTGGGCCTGCGATGCCAGTCATAAAGCAGATGACATTTAAAAATACAAATAAATATTGTAAGGAAGCCCTTCGTCCCTATCGCAATAAAAGTCTAAATGACTATATCCGGATCTGTAGGGACATTGATGGGAACTTCATCCAGGGCCAAGTGTTAGCTGCTACTATTCGGCCCCAAGTGGGGAAAGAAAGACCTACTCTGGGAGGGAGAAAAACATGTTTTAGCTGCGGTAGGGAGGGACACTTCCGTAGAGAGTGCCCTCAAAATAGTACTACGGGTCTCAAGAGACCTGGTTTATGCCCCCGTTGTCGAAGGGGATATCATTGGGCCAATAACTGCTACTCTAAAACTGACAGGGAGGGAAATTTCCTTTCTGCTAATAATAATCAGGGAAACGGGAGGAGGGCCCCGCCCCAGGGCCCCAAAACCAATGTGTACGGGGCAATGACCCCTGCTCTGGGCAGTGGCAGGACTCATTTTCTCCCCCAGAGCAACCCCTTCATATCTCAGACCTCCTTAGAGCCACCTCAGGGAGTACAGGATTGGACCTCGCTCCCTCTGCCCGGGCAATCCTAACACCGGAAATGGGGATCCAGGCCCTCCCTACTGGGGTGCATGGGCCATTGCCCCCAGGCACGGTCGGACTACTTTTGGGACGGTCCAGTACTATTCTTCGAGGCATCCAGGTACACCCCGGTGTTATAGACCAGGATAGTGAGGGGAGATTAAAATAATGACATCAGTGGGCAGTGGGGTTGTTGCCATCCCTGCAGGAGAACGGATTACTCAGATACTCCTTCTCCCTACAGCTCCTTGTGAGGCTAGAAAAATTAAAGAAAAAAGGGGCAACCAAGGTTTTGGAAGTACCGGCCCGGCAACATTTTGGGTAGCCACTATGGAGAACCGCCCCCAGCTTACATTAAAGATAGAAGGCAAGTCCTTTAGGGGCGTCTTAGATTCTGGGGCAGATTTCTCTGTCCTCTCAGATAAATTCTGGCCCCCCACCTGGCCAAAAGAGGAAGGGACAGTGACCCTCCAGAGAATAGGACAGGCTGTGCCCCAAAAAAGCCTCAGAATCTTAAAGTGGCAAGACTCTAAAGGCCACACAGGGCTTTTCCAGCCATATGTTTTGCCTGGCCTCCCTATTAACCTCTGGGGACGGGACCTCATGCAAGAAATGGGAGTGGTCCTCACCACCCAGGCACCCAAGTCCAAAAGCAGGGGCCCCCAGATGACACAAGGGAGGGGCTGGAGCCTGGGGAGGGAACTAGGTAAACTAAAACAGGGAGAGGTTTGCCCTGTGGCATCCCTCCCTTTGGGGACCAGGGCCCCAGGGGATAGGAAGGGTTTTGGCCATTTTTGATGAGGGTCACTGTTGCGCCGCCAGCCCCCATACCCATCACATGGCTATCAGATGATCCGGTATGGGTGGAACAGTGGCCCTTACCAGCGGAGAAACTAAGGGCGGCTCACCAGTTAGTTCAAGAACAATTGGAGGCAGGTCATTTGGTTCCTTCCACGTCCCCTTGGAATACCCCTATATTTGTAATAAAAAAATCTTCAGGGAAATGGAGGTTACTACAAGACTTGAGGGCAGTGAATGCGACCATGCAGCCTATGGGGGCTCTGCAGCCTGGCTTGCCCGTGCCTGTGGCCATTCCTAAAGACTGACATTTGATTGTTATTGACTTGAAGGATTGCTTCTTTTCTATTCCCTTGCATTCTCAAGATAGTCCTCGGTTTGCATTTAGCCTTCCTGCGATTAACTTTAGGGAGCCTGCCCTTCGCTTCCAATGGGTGGTGCTCCCCCAAGGGATGGCTAATAGTCCAACTATATGCCAGATTTATGTAGCTGCCTGTTTAGATCCCCTCAGACGTAAGTTTCCTGATCTTTACATTATCCACTACATGGATGATATTCTTTTGGCCGCGGCCAAAGAAAGACAATGTTACATAGCCTTTACAGAGCTACAGGAACTTCTGGAGGCCCGCGGATTTATTTTGGCTCCTAAAAAGATCCAAAAGAGACCCCCTTATACTTATTTGGGTCATCAAATTCAACAAACTGGCCTCCGGCCACAAAGACTCCAAATTGATTGTTCAAATTTAAAAACACTTCATGATTGGCAGAGATTCTTGGGAGAGGTGCAATGGTTTCGCCCTTCTCTTTCTATTAAAACAGGGGCCCTTAAAGCGCTTTATGATATTCTTCCTGGAGATCCTGCTCCAACTTCCCCTAGACAGATTACCCCAGAGGCCAGGGAAGCCCTACAATTACTGTTAAGAAGTATAGAGCAAGCCCACCTTTGGCGTATAGATTATGGGCAGCCCCTTGTTCTGGTTGTACTTTCATCTAGCTTTTCGCCCACGGCCGTGTTTTGGCAGACTGGTCCTATTTATTGGGTACATTTGTCAGCATCCCCTAAAAAGGTAGTGACCCCTTACTATGATCTCATTTTACAATTGTTGTGGAAGGCACACAAGTTTAACATTCAAACCTTTGGAAAGAGTCCTGATAAAATTATCCTTCCTTATGGTAAGGAGGAGGTGGAACATCTACAGATCTTCCATGATGGGTGGACTCTGTTTATTACATCTACAGGCGCACAGTTTGATAACCAATATCCCAACAGCCCCTTGATGTCTTTTTTCAAACAACACCCTGTGATCTTTCCCAAGATTTTAAAGGAGAACCCTCTAGTTGGAGCTCGCTCAGTCTTTACAGACGGCTCCTCCAAGGGTTTCGCGGTGGTGGTTTCTTCTCAGGTGCAGAAGAGGGTACCCACAGGACAGATGTCAACACAAGCCGCCGAGTTGTTTGCTTGCTTGATGGCTTTCCAAATGTTTGAGGGAGAGCCCTTTAATTTATATACTGATAGTGTTTATGTTGCCAACATTGTTAGACCTTTAGAAACTTCTCCATATGTTCTTCCAACCTCCCAGGTTCGTTCCTTATTAGTTCAGCTCCAACATCTTATTTGGCAGCGCATCCACCCTGCTTATGTGGGATTTATTCGTGCACATACTAACCTTCCAGGACCCCTTGCCCAGGGCAATGAAATTGCTGACTCCTTGACCCGCCCTAGGGTCTTATTTACTCAGGAGCAGCTGGCCCACCAACTCCATGAGAGGTATCATCTAAATGCCCGCTCCATTAAATTTCACACTGGGTGCCCCTTATCCATAGCTACACAGATTACCTCTCAGTGCCCTGATTGTGCCCCTTATCATAATTCTCCCAATGAGGGGGTAAATCCCCGGGGCCTCAGGGCCAACCATCTCTGGCAAATGGATGTCACTCACCTGCCGCAGGCAGGGAAATTAAAATACATGCATGTCTCGGTGGATACGTATTCTAAACTGATTTTTGCCTCTCTCCACTCAGAAAAAAAGATTAAAGATGTTATTTCTCATTGCCTACAGGCCTTTGCCTACATGGGCATACCCGATGCCCTAAAAACGGACAATGGCCCTGCCTATGCCAGCAATCGCTTTGCTGCCTTTTGCAGGGAACATCACATTGTCCATTCTTTTGGTATTCCTCACAACCCCACGGGACAGGCTATTGTGGAGCACACCCATGCCACTCTCAAACAGTATTTTAAGAAAATAAAAAAGGGGGAGTATGTTACCTCCCCCAATATTCAGTTATCCACCATACTTTACATTTTAAATTTTTTGACCATAGACCATAATAATTTGTCTGCTATGGAGAGACATTGGAACAAACCCTCCCAGTCCTTGGGATGGGTCAGATGGAAGGATTTGATTACAGGAAAATGGCAGCCACCCACTCCCCTACTAGCTAGGGTCCGAGGGGCTGTTTATGTTTTCCCTCCAGGAAGTGAGAAGCCCATTTGGGTCCCCGAACGGTGCATCAGGCATGTCGACCCCAATACTACTCCGGATACTAGGAATGCTCACCATGATAAAGATCCAACCATTGCTGAACACTCAGGTAAGTGAAATATGGGCGTTGGTGAGGATTCCCCCCCCATGTTGATGCCAGTTAGTCATTCCAGCTCCCTGTTCATCAATTTTTATAACACCAATAATACATTGGAAGCGACTGCTGCCAATGAGATTAAAAAGTCAAAAACTAGACATTCTGAGTTTCCCCCTCCTAAGCCTGATACCAGGGTCAGGAAGTAGGGGAATCCAAGAGATTCCCAACAGCATACGCCTTTAATCCCAACACACCTTTATGCAAGTTCCAGGACAGCCTCCAAACAATACAGAGAAACCCTGACTCAAAAAAAAAAAATTTTTTTTTGGTAACAGTAAAAGAGGTACTGGTATTAAGTAAAAAAAAAAAAAAAGACAAAAGTATATGAAATAAAAAATTTTGTTTACATTTAAGTTCTATTTTGTGAGTCATCTCTAAAAACTTTTGGCCAAAAGCCTGGCCTCTCTACCTTACATCTACAGAGTTACAAGGAGTAGGTACGGCTGTACCCCATGACTGTAGCTCAAATGGAGGAATGATAAAAACATATAGGACTTTTTAACCTTTTTAGTTCAAGGATTGGCTGGAGTTCTTTTACATAGATTTCAATTAAGAAAGCTTCATTGCAACAGACTAATCACGACCTAGGGAAAAAGGATGACTAAAAGATACATGTATGTTCTAAATGTATGGTGTGGCCACACCGGTATGTATAAAATGTGATTGTGAATGCGTGAGTGTAAACTGCTTATATGATTAAAAGGATACTTAAATCCCTTCAAAAATAGTTAAGAAGCTACCTAGATTGCGTTAAATATAGCCAAAAGAAACATCCAGCCAGTCTGTTAATGTTTTAACAGAAAAATTTAAGATACAAATGAGGCCTTGTCAGCTAGTGAGAGTTCTACAGGTTAGATTGGGAAAGACTGCTCACAGACTTCAAATAATTTTCAAAAGTTATTTAATAAGCCCAATTTACCTAGATAGTTAACCAAGGAGGGTAGACAAATCCTTCTACTGTTATGGTCCAGCTTCAACAGTTCAAAAAAGAAAACTTTTTTAGAAAATAAAAAAGGGAAAATAATGCCCCCAGTCCCCACATGACTCATCAAATAATACACTCCTCATTTAAAAATTTTATAATGTGAATGCCAGTGAGCTTCAGACAGATTCTGGCATAATGGAACTTGAGCAACCATTGCTCAGGTCAAATGGAGACATCCATACACTAGACAGTGGAGAAGACCCTAATTTGGGGTCGAGGGCATGTTTGTGTTTTCTTGCAGGAAAAAAATAAAGCTTCGACAATTGTCAGACCATTTAGTGAGATGCATGGAGCAGAGAAAAACTGGACCTGAGACCATGGGAGCCTACCTAAGCCAGTTTGAGTGAGATCTCCTAAATCAGTGTTCCTGACCCTTGATGTCATCGAATCTACAGCCCAAGAAAGAAAGAAAACAGTCAGTTCGAGATTTCCAGTTTCTCAACAGACCTGCTGCATCAACCTTCCGGACCCATGAGTTTTCATCGTAAAGCCAACAGAGAAAAAAGGACCCATTTAAAGCATTTGGACATTGGTATGGACTATGATGAGTGGCAAAAGCCTCTTTTCAGTATTTGAACAGGACATGGTCACTTGAAATATCAGACTTGATGGTTCCTATTTCTGGAATCACGACTAGGCCAGTGTATTTTTCTGGAGAAATGCAACTTGTCCTAATGTGACAACTATTGTTCATATTTTTCATAATGCTACATGTGTAACATCAATGATTGTGCCCAATGTATCTGTGCAAGTGCACTTTCTAAATGCTTTCCTGACCAGATCTTGAAACGATTGTAAACTTTATCAAATTGTAAATGTAAATCACATGCGGGTTACCCTTGTAACAGAATGTAAATCATGTGCATGTTACCCTTGTAACAGATGAAGGCTGGTAGAATGTTATGGCCCAGATCTGGTGATGGGTATGGTGATGGAGAGGCGCTATGTCAATGGGGGTCCTGGAAATGGTGGCAGTGGCGGTAGGCATTCTGGCTTTATGCCGAGCTCAAACGTGCCTTGTTCCAGAGACAAGAGATCCGTAACCAAGTATTAGCTTAGCCCATGGCAATCCCGATAGCCATGAAGGTTGGTTACAGATGATTTAAGGTTGGGGTATCTCCGATGACGGGCAACCTGTGGGGAAGACCCCTCCCACCTAAAACAGGGGTTCAAGGTCCCCCAAAGACGGGAAAGGGAGGGTGACCCTACTTGACCTAAGCCAGGAGTGCCTCATTTGAAAATAAAAAGGGGTGAATTGTGGGAACACCAGACCTTGAGCAGAGACCCACTTCCCCTTCTGCCTGGGAGTAGGCAGCTGTAAGACAATGTTTAGTAAAAACATGTTTACTAAAAACGATACAATAAGTTCCTGGCCACTTCCCCTTCTGCCTGGGAGTAGGCAGCTGTAAGACAATGTTTAGTAAAAACATGTTTACTAAAAATGATACAATAAGTTCCTGGGAAAGGCCTTCCCACAGAAACCGCCCTGACCTCGACCTTGTCCAAAGACTAACCGCACCTTCAAAAACCCACACACATCCACCTCTGGGTCAGAGCAGAACCAGCCAGGGGAGAGGAGAGAGCAGAGGCTTCTCTGGTGGGAGCCTTTCTTAGGAGGTTTTCTTGAACCTTTTTGGAGCCTGTTTAAAGTTCTCTTTATATCATTGAACGAGTCTCTGTGTTATCAATACCCGACACCCTCCGCACGTTCTCGGACACAGGCCACAGAGCAGACGTGACACTCATTCACCTTTCACACTCTCTTCTTGGCATAGACAGAGGGCTCCATCAATGGCATCACAGAGGATCACTTAGCGTACGTGTGAATCTTTTTCCTCTTACAGAATCATCATGAGTTCAGAATCAAATGGTGGAGTTTCTGCACCACATGTTGGTTTGAAACTGAACAGTTTTTCAGGTGATCATCTTGCTCCTGCCTGAAGGTGAGCCATTGCAGATGCTTATTTACACAACAGGGCTAATGATTTTCCCTAGCAAAACCAAGACAGGCAGTTAGTGGACATTAGAACTCACGGGAGGGCAAGTCTTTACCTATTCGCTACGTATCCTCTGGCACTGTTTATTCCTGGCTTCTGATTATAAGGTATATCAAACTGATGGGTCTCACCTTCTCTGAGCTCACAGCTACTGATAGGTAAAGCATCTGGCTGTCTCGCATGATCCTGTCCCATTCCAAACCATTTGCCTTGTGAGAAACCAAGAGCCTACCTGAAGTATTAACCCAAAGCTCAGGCCACTGTCTGATTTCTTTTTATATTCATAGAAATGTTAAATAAAAGGTTAAGGCAGCATCTTCCTTTCAGCTGGGTTGTTGAACTTCTGCCCCTGAACAGTTTTATTTGTAAGTGTAAACCTGCAATCAAAACCTACCATCAAGGGGCAATGAAGCTGAAATTTTTTTCTAGCAGCCTTAGAGTGTAGATCCTTTGAGAAAATGCCTCTGCTTTAATGCAGGATTCTTCAGCACAGACAGAGGAGTGGCTTTATGAAATGCTGTGTCTCCATTATAGTATAAGCAGGACAAGCCTGTGTCATTGCTTGTTCACACTGGAATTGGTGAATTCAGGCCAGTGGCACAAGTTCCTCCCAGAGATAGGAAGACTGGTGTAGAAGACATAGACTTCTCCTTCCGGGTCCCCAAACTGGCTCAACATCCAGTGCAGAGAACTAGGCACCTAAGATTCACGGTGTCATAGATTAAATGGTAAACTTGCTGGAAGTTCCGCATTCTATCAACATTTGCACGACAAAGCTTTCAATGTGTTATTTTACTAAATATAAGCACATCTCATTACTAACCCTGAAAGTGCTAACGCACTATGGGCAATAGTCTGAGAGCTCTCATTTGGGTCATATTTTATGAAGACCATTTCATATATTTTAAATAGGACAAGTGTGCATGTGCACGTCTCACACACACACACTCACAAACACACAAGACTGACGTGATGGATGCTCTATCAATCAAGATATAGAGGTCAAACCACAAATCAGAAATTATTTCAAAAATGGTTTGAAAATTTTAAAGAATATGATCTTCTCCAGGTGGCCGTGGTGCACACCTTTAATCCCATCACTCAGGTGGCAGAGACAGGCAGATCTTTGTGAATTCAAGACCAGCCTGGTCTACAGAGCCAGTTCCAGGACAGCCAGGGCCACACAGAGAAACCTTGCCTTGAAGAGCTTTAAAAAAATATGATCTTGAGTGAAAGGAGTGGGTTATCCAAAAATGTAACTGATGCAAAGCTAAGACGAGAGTGGTGGTGTGGAACCAGACATTGGCAATGTCAGAGAGCACCAGGGGCAGAGGGGAGAGGTGTGGTTTTCTTGGATGGGGAAGACAAGCTTCTGTGTGATGCTGCCTGGCCTGTCTCCTAACCACATTACAACAGCTTCGCTTTGATACTTTGTGCCAATGATGATATCTAGCATCTCAAACCATTAAAAGGGAGAATGAAAGAGATGGGAGCAGACAGTCTGTGCTAGCTAGTCCTATATCAACTTGACACAGACTAGGGTCATTGGGGAGAAGGGAATCTCAATTGAGAAAATGCCTCAATAAGACCAGGCTACAGGAAAGTCTGTAGGGCAATTAGTGATTGATATGGGAGGGCTCAGTCCATTGTGGCCCACCTCTGGGCAAGTGGTCCTGGACTGTATAAGAAATCAGGTTGAGCAAGCCATAGGAAGCAAGTCTATAAACAGCACCCTACCTCTGCATCAGCTCCTGCCTCCAGGTTCCTCCTGCCCTGTATAGTTCCTGCCCTAACTTCCTTTATTGATGAATAGTGAGGTAGAAGGAAACGCCAAATAAACCCTTTCCTTTTCAACTTGTTCTTGGTCATATTTCATCACAGCAATAGTAACTCAAACTAAGACACAGTCTCTACCCAGTGTATTGATCTCTGACTGTGAAATCATCCATGGCAGAAAAAGAGGAAAAGATGCCTTGGTTTCTTTCTCCGTTTTTCTGGAACACGTCCCACTAGCTTAATGGTTCTCAGCTTCCCTAATGCTGTGACCCTTTAATAGAGTTGTGGTGATTCCCAACCATAAAATTATTTTGTTGCTACTTCATAGCTGTAATTTTGCTACTATTATGAATCATAATGTAAATATCTGATATGCAAGATATCTGATATGTGACCCCTGTAAAAGAGACCCTGTAAAAGGGGTCATGACCCAAAAGTTGAGAATTTCTGTACTAGCTGAATGAAGCTGGAGACTACCCAACAAGGGAAACTTGAAAAAACATCCCTCAAGAACCAAACTCCACGTTAGCTCTTCATCCTTGTCCTCCAGTCTGGCATATTCACACACACACACACACACACACCCATACTCCCACTCCCTCCTTCCCTCCCTGCCTCTCTGTAACACACACACACACACACACACATACATACACACACACACACACCATGGCTTAGAACTTGACTTAAGAATTTTAACTAGAAACTTGAATGAACACTTCCACTTTTTTCTTTTATATAAGGGGTTCTTAAATTAAGGCAATGCCCTGATTGTATAGAGAACCTAACCATGCTTTGAGGGACTCTGATGAGTCTTCCACCCCTTTTCTTCTCCAGTTCTAGATGTGCCCTGGGAATGTTGCCTAACTCTAGGGAGTAGAATCCAGAAACACACTCAATATCCCTCACACCTATGTAGCCTTCCCAATAAACTTAATGACCTGAACAAGTGTCTGTGAGCATTATAAATAAATCCTGTTTCATCAGTATGCTGTCATGAGGAACTTTAGCTGCCTTACAGCCCAAGAAAAAGAATAGCACCAGCAATGATATTTCCCTGCAGCCTTCTTGTTATGCCGCTGGTGTTGTGAAGATTCCTCATTTCTTAACATGGACACATCCATCTTAACTAATGGCAAAATTACACCCACAGGGGTTTGCAAAAGACAAAAATTTGTCCTCATCTCATGTATATCTTCTAGAAAGTTTTAGTGTATTATCTCTGAAATTCCACATTTCTCTATGACTATCTTTCAATGTATGATAGACCCTCTAAAATTTCTTCCTATACTGTTGATGAAGTTACACATGGACACATTTTATTTACTTAGCTATTTATTTTTATATGCAGTTTATAAGACCAAGTTTTGTTATGTATATCTGGATGACCTCAAACTTTCAGTGTTCTTGCTTCAGCGTTTGGAGTCCTGCGACTACATGTTTGTGGTACCATTCCTGGTTCATGGGGAAACATTTTTCATGCTTTTAGTTAAGAGAAAAACATCAAAGTATGTCAGGAAGAGAAACTAGTTGTTCACAGAGAAAAATTAAATGCTTGCAAATAAGTAACTTACAAAGCAGCTATTTTACAAGCACTAGTTTTTAACTAGTCACAAATCCTCTTCTCTACATTTCCAAAGTCATATGTACCTATCACCACATTTGCATCTTTTCCAACTGTCCATTTGGTGCAGACTTTCCTGATTCATAAACATTTTATCTGCTTAGTATACTGTCTTCCTTCCTTGTTGACTGCTGTCCAACTTTTAGTTCAAATGTCTAACCTTTTGTCTTTATTTAGAACCGATATTAGGTTACTCTTTATGGCTGACACCAAACCACAGTCTTCCAGAAGCAAACCAAGTTGTCAGAAAACAAAGAACATCTATTCTTATGAATAATGTTGTATTTGAACACAGCCTTGTCACTTATTGGCACATTGTCTATAGGGTCTTTCTTGATAATATAGAATAGTTGCTACACAGACACTTTGGTCCACAAAGTCTTATTAGTCATTATCTGACATAACCACTTTGCTGACAACTGCCCAAAAGCATGTGCTCCTGATTAATGGAATCTGAGTGTTGGGATGAGACTAGGCTTCCTGATTCATTTACTAGCTGATTTTTTTTTCAACATAACATAAGCTAGAGTTACTTAAGAAGTGGAAACCTCAATTGAGGTAATGCCCCCACTAGACTGGTCTATAGGAATGCTGGTGAGATATTTTCTTAATTGACGAATGGTATGGGGTGGGAAGTCCAGCTTGCTGAAGGTTGTGGCACCTTGGGCGTGTTGTATCAGACAGTAGACTGATCAGGCCATGGCGAGAAAGCTGGCAGGCAGCACTCCTCTATAGCCTCTGCTTCAGCTTCTTCCTGTAGGTTCCTGCCTTGAGTTCCTGCCCTGACTTCCCCAGTGATACAGAATAGCCTGAGAGTTATAAGCTAAAACAAATCCTTTCTTCCTCAGGTTGCTTTGGGTCATGGTGTTTTATCACAGAAATATAAATTCTAATTAAGGCACCAATATAATCATAATCTTACTTCTTTATGTTATAGATGGAAAGAAATAAGGCATCCAGTGGACTACCTCGTTACAAGGTTAGGTTCTGCTAATCATGTACTGTGTGATCGTGATAAAATAATTTATGTCTGGACAATTAGGCTTCTCATTTGCATAGCTTGGGATAACAATGACTTCTAAGGTACTGTGAGCTAAATGAGTTATTACAAAAGAGCTTGCAGTAATGTTTGGATCAAATAACATTAGCTCCTAGTGATTTTTCCATCCCACATTCCATAAACTGTTCCATACTATCACAGTACCTGGAATCAACTGCATTCTCCATAAAGGTTTCTTGCATTTGTTGGCAGAAGAACTGAAGTAGAAAGAAAATGCATATTCCTAGAAGATTAAAATAATGGCAAGTATCCAAAGTTGTAGACTGATACCAGGCATAAAGCAAAAGTTTGGCTCAACATACTTACAGGAGGTACAATAAAGCGAAAACATAAACATTGTCATAGAAAAGTGGCAAAGGAAAGACTAGAAAGCTTTTTTTAGGTAATGTAAATCCTCCTTGTGTTCCATGGTCTCTGTGTTAGTCATCTTTCCACTACTGTAGCAAAATACCTGAGATATCCAATTAACATAAAGGAGGATCCGTTGATTTTTGGTTCAAGTTCAAAGATTTCATCCCAGTTGCCTTGGATCCACTGATTTGGGCCTGAGCAGTGCAGACCGCCCCCATGGGAGCACATGGTAGACAAAGGGCTAGCCTGCTTACTACAGCCACAAAGCAAAAGACAAAGGATGGGGTCAGGGCTCGTGTACCCCTCCAGAAAATAACTCCTAACAACCCAGCTTCCTGCCCTTCCACTCTGTCCCTGACCCTTAGATGCTCCACCCCTCCCTAACAGCACACCAGGCTGGGTATGGAGCCCACGACCCAGATCTTAACTCACTATCCAAACTCTAACATGGCTTTTTTTGGTTTTACGAGACAGGGTTTCTCTGTATTGTTTTGGAGGCTGTCAGTCCAGCCCGGCCTCGAACTCACAGAGATCTGCCTGCCTCTGCCTCCCGAGTGCTGGGATTAAAGGCATGCACCACCACCGCCCGGCACTTGGCTTTCTTTTTAATCAGAGGAAAACCATAAAAATCTTGTAGGAAGCCTGATCCTCCAGTATCTCTGTTCCTCTGAGTTTTAAGGAATGAAGCCTTAAAGGCAACACAATGCTTCTTTACAGTATTATTAAAAGGAGACATAACAAAATCTTTAAGTACTTCATTACTGGATAAGTTAACTTATTAACTGAAGAAATACCCACAACTTGACTGCAAAAGCAGTGTGTACTATGTCCAGAGCCTCGGCTGCCCACCTCTTTCTCTAGCAAGCGCTTCCTATGCTCTTTTTAGTTTCTTAACAAAAGTCAAAACACAGCTCCAGAGCTCTGTCTGCTGAGGGAGCTCTGCTAATTTGCCATGATTAGAAGATCTTTGAAGGTCCTTGCCAGTTTTTTTATCAAGGCATAAAGAGCAATTATTACAATTAATGCAATTTACCATGTGTTAGCCTTCCAGAAAAGCTATTTCAGGGCCGCTCTGCCATCTGTCCCTTTCAGAGTGATGAGCATTGTAATTTAACTCTGTCTGGAGTCCTAGGCTTTGGACATTCAACCTCAGAGAGCATTCACAGAGGACCCTCCTCCAGCATTTCCCCACTGTGTTCTCTGAGGTCTTAGACCCCACGATCAGTTTCTTGTCCACTGTGAGAAAGACTGCCAGAGCAGGGCAGTAAAGAAAGTATCCAGCCACTGAGTGGATTTCAGCCTCTCCTTCCTGCAGAAGGAATCCATACCCGGCAGAGGGAGCTTCCTTTTTGCCATCAACAACCATTTTCCTTAACAGGACACTGCTGCTTGAAGATACTGTCTACCAACATAGCCTCTGACAGCCAGGAGGATACTCTGGGAAAACCACAGTAGGCATATGTTGTTAGAGAATCCAAGGGAAATAGACAAGTGCTTGCCAAAGGGACTCAGGCTAAATAGGAAAGAGAGGAGACAGAATCATGACTCCTCACTTTCACTGGGTGGTTTTTATTTTACTTGTTTTTTAATTAAGAAAGCACGTGTATTTGACTATAGACGGTAGCTGAGTTGGTGGACTTCTCACACAGAACATGTATGACTGTGATGAGGATTGTGTGTTTGATCCCCAGCTACCCAGCACTACAACATGTAGAGTGACTTTAAAATAATCCTGATATATGCTTGCAACTCCAGTACTTGAGACAGAGACAGGATTATTGTGAGTTTGAGGAGTACCTTAGCTACTACTTATTGCTGGCCTTTTTATTGAATCAAAATTGTTCTATTTATTTTAAAAGATGTTTTGCATTTTAATATATATACATTATATGTATGTATTATACATATATGTGTGTGAGTCTTTGTTTTCCTGTGTCTGTCTTCCCTCTCTCCCCCTCCTTCCCTCTTTTCCTCCCTACCTCCTCCATCCCTCCCCTCTCTACAGGATATGTTTATATATACACATGCCATGGTGTGTGTGCGCACGCGAAAGTTGGAGATAACTTTGTAGGATTGGTTCTCTCCTTTCACCTTTACATGACATCTAGAGATCAAACTGAGTTTACTAAGCTTGTACATCAAGCCCCTTGCCTACTTGGGTGGTTTATTTACTTCTTTTTATTGGTGTATATTATTTCACACAGTGCTGAGTTTCATAAGCACTCCTATTCACACCCTTAACATCTCCTCCTTCCCCACAGTCCCTTCTCCTTTCACTGGTCTTCAACTTTCATGCTGGGGATAGGGGCATGGCGTATGTGTTTAAAATATATAAAATCTAGGGTCTACAAGTGAGAGAAAAAGTGTTATTTGTCTTTCTGAGTTTGACCTATTTTGTTTACTATGATCTCCAGATGCTTCTGCTTTCTAGTAAATGGCACAATCCCACTTTGTTGCTGTTCATCTTGCTGCTTGCAGTGTCTTATGAAGGCCAGGGTGGTCTTGAACTTAGTGTGCAGCTGAAAATGACCTTGAACTCCTGATCCTTTTGTCTCCCCCTTCCAGATACTGCGATTGCAGATGTGTGCCATTATGCCTGGTACATTTCTTCATTATGCCTGAAAAAACCCACATGCTCTGCATCCATCTGTTGAGGCATACCTAGCCTGATTCCACAACTTGGCTACTGTGAAACCTGCTGTAATAAACATGGGTGTGCAAACAAATCTCTTTATGGTCTGTTTCCTAAGAGTTCTTTAAGGATAAAAACAAATGCATGGTTGCTGTCTTAGCTTTCATCCTTTTTAAATACATGATTCAGGAAGTTGGGGAAAGGAGAGTAACATAGCCATCCATTTTCACAAGCACAGTGCCAACCACATGACTGGAAATCCCACAATTTGCCTCTCACCCTTCTCCCTCATTCCTCTGTAAGAAATCTGGCTGCAGGAACTGCTAAGTGTTCAGTGAAAAGAGAAACAGGACAGCCTTTTCCCGGTGGGAACAGGATCCAGAGAGGAGGGAGAAGAAAGCAGCTTTTCTCTTGTTCACACATTTGGTGGAAGCTGCCATTTCCCAAGCTTGCCACCTTCTTCCTTTCCAGTAACCAAGATGATCTCATGGAGAAGGCACGTGTGCATCCATAGAATACTGTCATCATCAGTGTTCCTAAATATAAGACATTTTACATTTAAAAATTCCTGGGCTTTGAACAATTTTTTTTTGCTGTGCTTCATGGGTCTAAGAAAGATTGTGGGGAAATAGATTCGCTGCTTTGAGATACCTTTGGAAATGCTCTGCTTTTGTTTATGAGGAGACAGGCTTATTCCTCCTTGGCTACCATCAGATGAAGCTGAAAGACTGGGATGAGGACAATTGTCTGAGGTGCAATGACAGTGACAGTATGTCCTTCTGCAGTAGAAAGGACGGGAGAGGGCCAGAGTCATGCCTATTGTCCTGGAAACTTGCCATTTTCTTCTAGTCCTGTGAGTCACTGTAGGACATGCACTGATATGGCAAGGGAAATAGGTATGTCAGTTTTGAGTCTAATTTCTTAGAAGATGGCTTTCCTCACAATGCTTGCCTGTTAAGTTTTATAATTACTATCAGACTTTCATTTATAAGATATCTATATTTTAAAATCATACTTGGGATATTACATTCAAGTTAATTTAAATACGTTTAGTTATCAAATCTGAAGAGTCATATGAAATTTCATTCTGTATACTGATAACTTAAGCATGCATAAGTACATGGTCACTTAATAAAGGAGCCTGCATCTGTGTAGAATCCTGAAATGAGAAAGAGAACAACTCCCCCCACACCTGTGTGTGTGTGTGTGTGTGTGTGTGTGTGCTTTACCAGCTCCCATCAGATACCTGAAACTATAGAACATTAAATGATAGAGAATTCAATAGATATTTTCTCTTTATATGCATACCCGTGACAAAGCTTAGTTGATAAGTTAGCTATATGGACTGGAGAGATGGCTCAGTGGTTAAGAGCACAGACTGCTCTTCCAGAGATTGAGGTCCTGAGTTCAATTCCCACCAACCACATGGTGGCTCACAAACATCTGTAATGAGATCTGGTGCCCTCTTCTGGTTTGCAGGCATACATGCAGACAGAACTCTATATACATAATAAATAAGTCTTAAAAAAACAAACAAAAATAAGTTAGCTATACTTTTAGATTAATAGTAACTAATATTAAAATAGATCAAATTAACTATACTATAATGTTATTTATTATATATGAATTGTTTGCTCTTAGAATTTTCTATTTTTTTTTCAGTCTCAAGTTGATTGTGGTAACTGAAAAGTCAGAGAACAAAGCAAAATAGGGGCCAATTACACTTAAGAGTGGGTATTGTGGCACACACCTTTAATCCCAGCACTCAGGAGGCAGAGGCTAGTCTGTGAATTTGAGGCTAGTCTGGTTTACATAGTGAGTTCCAGGACAGCCAGAGCTATATAGTCAGACCTTGTCTTGGAAAAACTTCTAAAAGGAGAAAAGAATGAATATGTAGACTCATCAACAAAGCCAGCAAGCCTCTGAAAACACCTGGTTTCCTGAAGGTTTTCTTCAGAACCGTGTAGGTGTTTAAGATATGGGAAGGAAGTTTCTGTCCTGCCGGTCCCACAGTCATTTAGTCCCCAGAAAACACACAGAGGCTTATATTAATTATAAACCTTTTGACCAATGCCCAGATGTCTTATCTTCCCAGTAGCTACTTGCTCCCTTGAGACTTACTCTCCACATTCCTCTTCCCAAAATTCTCCTAGTCAGGCAGCCCAACCTATACTTTCTGCCTGACTGCATCCTGCCTGTCCATTGGCCAAAACAGCTTTATTCATCAGTCAATGAGAGAAACATATATTCACAGTATCCAGAAGGACAACCCACCTTCAAAGATGCACATACCTTTACTTACAGTGCTTGAGAGATAACATTTCTCCACAATTCTAGGACCAGAAATTGAGAGTAACATAGTCTAATTTAAGGCTAAGAATAGAGCTGGGGTTGTAGCTCATAGATAGAGCACTTGCTTAGTATATACAAGTCTCAGGGTTCCTCTCAGCAGGGAACACACACACATACACACACACACACACACACACGTGCGCACGCGCGCGCACGCGCGCGCACGCGCGCGAAGATTGTTATTTTTAAAAATCTCACAAATACACTTTTAAAAGATGCAGAATAAAAATGATCACTTTTTATTGTCCCTTAATACTCTGTTAGGCTTGATTTCTAGGCAGAGTCTGCCTGCCAATGACTGTGTCACAGATGATTAAACAGGTATCTAGGGAATACATCACCTGGTATGTCTCTTCTAGTGAATCAGATGCACTGGGGATTTCTCCAGAGGTAATGGTGAAGAAAGGAGGCTGAGATGTGTTTCCTCTCAATGTAACTTCTTGTTTTGTTTTTCTTTGCAATTTTGGAAAATGTGTAATCTGGCAAAATTAAAGGCAGAGAAACACCAAAGAACACATAGCATTTTTCAGACCTATTGAAGATATGAGCATCACATAGGACTCATTTTAGATTATACTGACCCGAATGCCCCATGGTATTTTTTTCTGGTTTGTTTGTTTTGAGACACATTTTTGCTACATAGCCCAGGCTGGCCTTGAATTCACAATCCTTCTGTCTCAACCCCAGAGTGCTGTAATCATAGGTTTACAATATCACGCAGCATGTTTTTTTTTTAATTCACAAAAATTAAGGAGCAGAGCATGATGGTATACTTACATAATCCCCCGTACTCAGGAGGTCAAGCCAGGGAGATCAGGAGTATAAGTCCAGCTGGGCTACTTTGGTGAGTTCCAAGTCTTTCTGGCTGCATAAGAAATGAAATAAGCAAACAAAATTTTAACACATCAGTAAAAAGTAAAAGTAAATAGGAAAAAACAAACAATGACAAATAAAGGAAGGAAGGATGGAGGGGATGAGGAAGGGAAGGAAGAAAGAAGAAAGGAAGGAAGGAAAAGAGGGAGGAAGGGAGGAAGGGAGGGAGGAAGGAGGGAAGGAAGAGACATTGGGAAGCAATTCTCACTTTTAACTTGAGGAAAGACAATCCCAAGTTTTTTTATGGGATCCTGAAATGGAACATGGACAAAACATACATAGAGAATAGCACACAGTCACATGCTTAGTTTATTTATTTGACAAATACTTATTGACTGTCACTGTCTCAACTGATAAAACAAATTTCTTCCTCCCTTCTTTCTTGGAGTTTGTATTTTGGTTGAGGATTACTAAAGAGTAGCCTACAAACCATTTTAATTTTTGAAAACTGCCTGGTTGGATGAAATTATTCTGTACTGCACATTTAGCAGTTTCCTAGAACCGCTATTACAGACCACCACACAAACTGCTACAGACCACCACACACTGTTACAGACCACCACACAGACTGGCCTAAACTTGTTTTTCTCTAGCTTCAAGGTCAAAAGTACAAGTGACAACTACAAGTACTGAAGCTCTAAGCAAGCAGTTTGTCCTGAGTTGTCATTGGCTTGAGGTGACCTTGGGGCTAATTAAACCCTCTTCCTCTCTTCACATTTCTCCTTTTCTGTAAGGCCACCACTGAGGTTAAATCAGGATCGCTCTGTACTCCAGTATGACCTCATAGGTTTTTGTTTTTAAATTCATGAACCATTTTTTAGAATTTTGTAATGAGAACACTGTATTTACATCATTTCTAACCTTCCACCCCCAACTCCTCCCATGTCCCCTCCAACACATTCCCATCTCAAATTCATGTTCTCTTCTGTAACTGTTGTTGTTCACACACACACACACACACACACACACACACACACCACACCACAACCTACTTAGTCCAATTAGTGTGATGATTCACCATTGTTGATATTGTAACAAATGTAACACACAAACAACAAGATGTTAGCCACAGGGAAATGATGCGAGGAACAAGAAGTATGCTGAAAGTCTGTTTTCTGTCCTATTTTGTTGTGTAAAGTGCTTTTAAAATGGTCTTTTAGCTTGTGTGTGTGCATAAATGCATGTGTGTGGATGTTTCTGCATGTGTAAGTGCACATATACACATACATACATGAGCATCTGCAACCTTAGGTGTCATTTCTCAAGTGTCGCCATCTTTTTGGGCTTGGACTTGGGGACAGGTTCTCTCATGAGCCCAGACCTTGACACTTAGACCATGCTGATGCCATGTCGTCTCAGGGACCCCCTTGACTTTGCTTCCCCTGCCTAGGATTACAAGTACACGCCACCACACAGCTTTTTTTTTTTAACTTTGTTGTACTAGTTAAACTTCATGCTTGCAAGACACACACTTTACCAACTGAGCCAACTTGCAACAACCTATTAAAGCCTTTGTTTTAATTTTTTTAGAAAGGCAAATAATACATGAACAAGATAAAAGACCTTTGCTGTCTGCACATAGCCAGAGCCTAGAGGAGTCACCCATCTGTCTGCCTCTGGGACCTCGTCAGCCCCTGGTCCTGCTTTGTGCCAGTCACTCTGGCCTTCCTTTTGACTCTGGGGCCATCCTATCTCCGTCACAGTGGGAAGTCTTGTGCAAGTTGCTCCCTCATCCTAGAATCTTTTCCCCCCAAGTTTTCAGTTTTTATAACTCATCCACAGAGAAGATGATATATCGGCCCTCACTTTTAGGCTCTTCACACAGTTTCTCATTGCTATGTGGAGTTTCCATTTCCATTATCAGTCTTTTTCTTCCTTCAAGCCCCAATCTCACCAATTTCACTCTTACCACCTCCTATGAGACCTGGACTCTGCTGCCAGTTGACTTCATCTTGATAGTTAGACAGAGGTAGCTGTCTATAATAGATGAAGTCAAATGGCAGAAAATAGAAGCTATAACTAAACTTCACACAGCATGGGTACACTATTTTTTCCATCAACATCTCTTCCTGAGAAATGTTGCTTTAAACACGGGGAAAATATGAATGCCCTCTTCCCTTAAAGACCTGTTTAAGATTTAGCATCCTGAAACTGTAGGGTAACCACCTGAGTTCATCTCAGCTGGGATAGTTGAGGAAAGTAAAGCTGAAAACAGTGAGAATTTAGGAGGCAATTTAGAAGAGAGAGCTTTGAAAGTGTTGAGTGGTCCTGGTAGAGTTTGGAGCACAGGTGTAGAACCTTCCATTTGGAAAGAATTGCAAAGGAATCCTGTCCAAAGCTGTAGATCAGCTAATGCAGGGGATGGCTCCACAATTATTTCAAAGTAAACAGGCTTTAATTGGTAATCCAAGAGGGGAAATGTAGGGTAAGGCTTTGATGTTTCTTTTTCAGAAGGAAATCACCACGATTTCTAAGAAAAACCAAACCAAACAAACAAACAATACAAAGAAGTGAGAAAAGTTATGGCTTTGTGTTTGGTTTTTGTCTGTTTTGTTTTTATGTCAATTTTGTTTAGTTTTTAGAAATTAAATACAATCAAACCAATTTAAGCAAAGAAGGGGAAATTCATGGCAAGGACACAGGGTATGAAGTGGAAAGGAAGGAGTGGTAACAGAAGCTGGCTCCAGGAAACTTCTAGAAAGGCCTCAGGGCTGCTTCTATCAACCTGACCCATTCTTTTTCTACCAGTTATCTGCCTTTTCTTATCCATAACATGGGTATTGATTGTCTCTGCCCACTGTCTAGACTCACCAGATATAAATCTTGCAGCAGAAGATGCTGTCACATGTCTCTCAGTCACAATCCACATTCCCAGAAGAAGTATTTTGCAAGGTACAATGTTCATCTGTGTCGCAAGATGCAACCAAGAGGAGGATGCAAAAACATGCGTAACAAACTTCAGTGCTTCCACACGGGTACTCTGTGCCCTGTGGAGAGACATGGGGGCACAGAGAGAAATCTCAGACAAAGGGAATTGCCGGGAGCTACATCCATATTCCACAAAAGTGCCACAGAATGGACACAAGGGCAAATTTATTAAACCTCTACTAGAAGAGGGCATAATTTCAACCATTTAAGAAAATTCCTGTCCTGTAGAGACAAGGACTCCAGCTGGAGATCATACCAGGCATTATACAACCATGAACACACAACAACTGTGGTTACCTGCACTGATCCCGCACCAGACTGGTCATATCAAATAACACTTGTGGATGAAGGAGAGGCTCATGGACCATACCCCACCTGCTGAACTGAACATTTACTGGTGGGTTTTGAGGGAGGCAAAGTTATGTCTTCCAATGAGTATCCCATCAGTGAGCCCACCAGGCCCCATTAGATAGTTCCATACACAGGTGACATAGAGGGTTAACCTCAGTGGGTCACAAGACAAGACAAAAAGACATGACCAAGGGAGATGGAGCTGTATAGAGGAGGGGGCTTGATAGAGGTGTAAGGCAGATAGGAAAGCATGGGATATAATATGAAATCTTCAAGGAACAAATACAACTTTAAAAACACCCATCCAGAAAATTTCAGCAAATATGTAAACAAAATTTTACTTAGTAAAATATTGGCAGTCCCTATCACTTCCAAGATGCAGAGTGATATGAGAAATTAAAAGCACACCTACCCAGCATCATTTCTCCTTGATCAAGTCTGGAGCCAAATGAGAAATAAGAAAAAAGTGAGACCAAAGTACCAGCTGCATCACCAGCAAAGGCTGGATCTGGGCTGCAAACTTTATACGCAACCAAATTGTAGAAATTATTATACTAAAGAATTAGTTAGCATTGATGGAGACAAGAACATTAAAATGGCATCCCAAGTATTGAATACCTATCATATGACAAGTACTGCTCTACTCCTGAGATAAAGCTGTAAACAAACTGTCTACCAACCGGGGAACAAGACATACAGAGAAAAAAAATACTGATTCACTCACCTGAGTTACATGCCTACTGTTGCCATAACAAAGTGGACCATGTGGTTTAAAAACAACAGAAGTTAGTTTTCTTACAGTTTTAGAATCAGAAAGTCTGGGACAAAGGTATCAGCCCGGTGGAATTCTTCTGGGACTGTAGAGAACAATCTGTTCTAGATCTTTCTTTTGGTGTGTGTATGGCCTCTTCCTTGTGGCATTTAAGGTATGTTCCCTTCAATTCCCCAGTATATCTCTGTCCCCTAATCTATTTTTCTTCATAAGGACACTGGTAGTACTAGATTGGAATCCATCAATTTGACTTATTTTAACTTAATGGCTTCCTTAAAGAATCTATAAATAAGGACATATTCTCAAGGACTGGAATTAAGGCTTCAACATATGAATATTTAGTACATCCAGAAACACCTCCAAAAAGGAACATATAACAGGAACCCTCCCCTTTTTTTAGTGTTGGGTCTTGGGCCTAGGGCCTCTCACAGACTAAGCAAGAACTCTACCAGATAACTAGATTCTTGTTTTTTAATTTATTTTTAAATTAAAATGGTGTGTGCGTGTGCATGAAATCAAGAATGGAGGGCAACTAATGGATCTTTTTTCTCTCCTTCCACCATGTGGGAATTGAACTCCAGTCATTGAGTTCAGTGGCAGGCTCCTGTGTCCACAGAGTCATCTTGGTGGTTCATTTTTCTTTTTAAATTTTTTGACAACAAATAATTAGGTTGCTCAGGCTGATCTTGAACTTGATCATCCTGACTCAGCCTTCTGAGTTGCTGGGATTTCAGGCCCGTACCAGATCAGGTTTAAGGTAAAAGGGTCTTGATTGATGAGACACTGTTCCAGACAGAATGGACAGGGAGGATATCTCTGAGGAAGCACAACTTTTAAATGAAATCACTGTTTTAAAAAAAGTGTGGCTCTTCAGAGCAGGTGGTCTCTAAAGCATGCTAGGTAGGGGTAACACTAACAAGGAAACATGCCTGGAAACATATATGAGATATGTCAGTGGAAGGAACAGAAATTGAACCTACTGATGACTGATGGATTTTCAGTGGTAATAGAAATTAAAGTCTTAAGCAGGCACAAAATATGATTAGTGTGACATTATGAATTAGAGATTTATTTTGAGACTTTGAGATGACGGGGCCTTTAAAATCTCTAGAAAGTGGGATGAATAATGTTACCATCTCTTGGGGTGAGGAATCCCAATTTGGTATTTAAGATGAGAACTTGGGACAAGCTGGAGGCCAGGAGACCAAACACGCTGGAAGTTATTACAAAGGCCCTGCCATGTTGCCATAAAGCCATGCTCTAGAAACCATTTTGAAGGAGAAAACGACAAAGTAGAAGCAATTTCAAAGGAAGAATCTGAAAAAGCCAAAGATCATCATTGAAATCTCTTAGTTACAAGAAATAAGTCACACTCATTAAATTCCCTGGACATGGTAACCTGGAGGAAAGCTATGCCACATCTACAGCTCATCTGGCTCTACAATTAAAATGCATGAGGTGCTGCAAAGCTGGATTGGAAATCCTGATTGAATGTTCCTGTTCTCCGTGGCTGGCAGGTGTCTAGCTGTGCTAGCAACTAGAACATTCTTCTTTGCCTTCATCTCTCAGGCATATTCATGTCTAAGTCACTGTTTCTTTTAGCTCAGTTGTATTCTGTCCTTGAAAATCCATAAGTTGAAACTCTAATCCCAAGTCTTTAAATATGACCATACTTAAAGCAGCTAAAGTACAATGATTCCATATGGTGGTCCCTAATCTGATGGGTCTGGTAGTTTGTAAGAGGGGAGATTAGAGCACTAGCATGGAGAAAAACTATGGGAAGATACAAGGGAAAGAAAGTTGTGTTAGCTTTCCTTTACTGAGCTGGTTATTTTGGCTTATAATTTTGGAATCTCAAGACCATAATTGATTGGCCCTATTGTATTGGATATACGATGAGGTAGCATTTCATGGAAAAAAGAGATATACCCACTATATTAGTAACTTTTCTGTTGCTGTGATGAAATATTATGACCAATGCAACTTACAGAGGAAAGGGTTTATTTGGCATCTGGTTCCAGAAGAATAAAAGTCCGTCATGGCAGGGGAGTGTGGCAGCAAGCAGAGCACAGTGATGGAGTGGAAGCTGAGAACTCACATCTTGAACCACAAGTGACAATCAGAGAGAGCATGCGGGAAGGCGGTGCCACTCCTTTTACTCTCAAAGCCCACCCCCAGTGATGAACTTCCTCCAATAAGAGCACACCTCCTAAACCACCTAAACTGTGCCATCAACTGGGGACCAAATGTTCAAATGCCAGAGGCAATGAGGGAGCATCTCATCTTACCCAAACCATCACACCATCACACCCTCTTTGATGGAGCAAAACGCCATTCACCTTATGTCCAAGAGCAGGAGAGAGAGGGAGAGAGAGACAGAGAGAGAGGAGGGTGGGGGATGGAGAGACAAGAATCCTTCAGCTACGCAGGGTGGTGGTGGCACACGACTTTAGTCCCAGCACTCGGGAGGCAGAGGCAGGTGGATCTCTGTGAGTTTGAGACCAAGCCTGGTCTACCAAGCGAGTTCCAGGACAGGCTCCAAAACAATACAGAGAAACCCTGTCTTGAAAATAAATAAATAAATAAATAAATAAATAAATAAAATGTAAAAAAAAAAAAGAATCTCACAGCTTCCTCCTCTTTTGGCATGCTCCTAAGATTTAAAACCTCCCTTCACATCATAAAAATTTCCATTGCTTCTCAGTACTACCAAGCTGAGGACTAAGCCCTCAGCACATGGACCTTGTTGGAGAACATTCTGGATTTAAACTATTAAAATGACCACTTACAAACCAAGGTGAAAGACTATCACAAACCACTCTGCTGTTATTTGGGTGTCAGGCTTCTGGCTTCTAGAACTATCAGAAAACCAAGTTCCATCAAGCTACCTTCTGTGTGACACGTTGTTATAAAGTCCTCAGTTAAACAATAGACTGCTTCACTCTTGGCCACTTCTGACTGTGCGGCGTTACCAGGAGGCCTTCCGAATCCTCATTTCAAGGGATATTGCTCACAGCCAACTAATGACTTGCTGTTTCTGTTTATGTGCATTTCTTTCCCATGTTGTCCTTCTCTGAGAAAGGGAAACCTTACCATCTGAACACACTGCACCTCTGAACACAAAGCCACTAGTTACCTATTTAAATTTAACATAATTAAGCAAAATAAAATGATAGATTCATTTCATTTTTGCGCGCTAGTTATGTTTGAGGTGCTCAACAGTCTTTTGTGACCAGTGGCTACCTTAGCGGTCACAGCAAGTGCAGGATGTTCCCATCATGTCTACTAGAAAGTTCTAGTAGATAGCATTTCACAGATATAGAAGAGAACATAAACATCCTCATTAAAGCCCCTCATGGCTGTATTGTTAGGGTCTACGTTTGTAAAGAACATAAAACCATTTAAGGTAGTATAATAGGAAAAGAAGTGGGATAAGAAGGTGGTGGTGGGCCTCGTCATATCCTACAGGGTCTGAAGGACTGGTGAGAGCTTCCAAAAGTCCTCGGTGGTCATTTCTCTTTGGACCTACCAATGGTCCATACCTTGGTTGCTATTTTTTAAAGACATGATCTCACTTTGTGGCTATGGCTGGCCTGGTACTTGCAGTGCAGAGACCTGGTTAGTCTTAAACTCACAGATACCCTCCTGTCTCTGCCTCCCAAATATTAGAGTTATTGGATAGCCCATGACTTTCAGATTCAGATTCTGAAAATCAAGAAAGACAACCCAACTTATGGAGGTGAGGAACTACCTGGACAGATGGGACTGAAGCAAAGGTGGCAGTCTCGAGGACAAAGAAGCACAAATGTCCTATCCTAGGGTCTTCCCAATGAAGAGTGTGTACAGGTTCCTATGTTTCGGCTATTTGTGTCTCTTTAGTTGGTCCAGAATGTTCCATTGAACAATAACCATTAAATATGCTTTGATCTTTACTTTTAGAGTGGCAAAAGCAGCAAATACCTTCCTCTTTACTCATTAGAAAAGTTGTTCCTGAAGACTACTTGGGTGCACAGTCACTGCTACCAGGCACTGTGAGAAACATTAGAGAGGAAGATAAGCACCCTAGCCCATTAAACAAGTTTGGCCCATACAAAGATCAACCTGAGAACTGAAGATGGTGTGGGCTCCCTAGTTTCTGGATTCTTACTTTAGCCTTCTTAGTAATTTTAATCCTACTTTAGCATTAAGGAAAACAAAACAAAACAAAAAATAGCTTCAAATTTGAGTCCGTGTCTTCAAACCAGCCATCTTATTTTTCTGTAACAAGCTCTTCCTGCCAAGATAAAATATGAAAGTGTCTTCTCATAGTCCCAAATATTATGTTACTGAGACAAATCCTATAATTTTCCACTTTCATGAACAGTTCATCTAAAAGGAGTTTTCCAATTTCAATCTCGCACATTCTATTTGAGTCAGTGCATATACACCTCAATCATCCCCTAACCCCAACCTCTGGCGATTGCAGGCAAATGCCATACAAAGACCTGAAATCCCTTTAACATACTCCAGCTGCCACAAAGAAGCCACTTCATTTTAGGGAGCTCTGTTTCAGTTAAAATCTCTTCTATGTTGAAATTTAAAACTTTCACAAATGAATAGTTAAAACAACCACATTTGTGGTTAAAAAATTAAGTTGCCAATAATTCCAGAGTTAATGGTCAGGAAACAAAGGACGGAGTACGTAACAGTCTCAAAAGGATCCCCTGGATAGCGAAAGGGTGCAGGGTGCAGTTTTTAATTTGGAGCTGTGTCATACCCAGGTCTGCAGTGATGGCATGCATCCATCACGTTTCTGATGAAGATGAGACGCCATGCGGTTTAGCACGCCAGCTGAGCCCTGAGTGAGGCTAACAGTATGCTCCCAACACGTAGAAGGAAACAGCGGCCACAGCATGAACAGCACATCCTCACTTTTCCTCTCCCCATTGCCTACTGGTCATTTCTAATTGCACCAACAAAGAGAATCCAGTTCTTTAGCTACTCCCACAGTGCTTCGAAATCGTTCCCTAACGATAAGGCTGTCTGAAGGCTGAACTTAAATGCACCGCCATATTTAAAATTTGAGTTATTCCAGGAAAGCCGGTATGTGAAGCACTCAAAGGAAGGAAATCGGCAAATCGTTTTTCTCTCCTTGAGACTCCCTTTTCACTCGTTTGAACCACCTGTATTCATTCTTGCATTTTTGTCTCCCCAGTTCCATTCTCTTTTGTGTCGTGTAAGAGTATTTATTTCTGCAGCTGAATTATGTCCTCTTTATTGCTTGGGAAGAGCAGCTTGCCTGTTATCTTTCATGGGTGGGAAAGTGGTAGCTTTTGAGTGGTTTCTGGCCGTGGGTATTAATGCAGTCATCACAGGGATGGCATTATCATCCACTAAAGCCACTTCAAGTTCATTTGCATTGTACAATATGTATTTCTATATTTGTGTGGATTTAAGAAGAGCTGAAAATCATTAAAATTCAAACTATACTCCAGCTTAGCACTTCAGAAAATTCATTGACTGTCTCAAGTGTGCTGTGGTGTCTTACCTGGAATGCATTGTCTATGTTTCCAGAGCTGGTGACTACCTATGTGACAATGTATTTAGACAGACAGAAGTAGTTACTGGGGTTGAAATAGATGCTCCAATTATAAGTAGCAAATCAAAATGTGAAGGGGAAAATGTAACATTCACATTTGTAGTGAGTAAATCAGTTAAATCAGTGCTTACAAAAGTCTGACTGCAGTTGTTAGGAATTTTGGTAGCTGAGTCGTTGTGCAGTTATACCAAATAAAGGATGAAACCACTTGTGTATGGGGAATGAGGAATGAGAGAGAGAGAGAGAGAGAGAGAGAGAGAGAGAGAGAGAGAGAGAGAGAGAGAGAGAGAGAGAGAGAGAGAGCATGCCTTGATGTCGTGTCTTCTCTTGCTCTCCAGTTTAGTTCCCTTTCCTGTTCCAATGACAAAACACCTGGTGAAAGCAAGATAGAGAAGGTGTTTACTTCATTTAGTTTATTTTGGAGGTTTATTCCAAGTTGCAGTCCACCTTAATAGAAGAGTCAAGGTGGCAGGGACTTGAGGTGGCTGGTCACACCCGCAGTCAAGAGCAGAGAGAATGAATGCAAGCATGCTGTGCTCAGCTGGCTTCCTCCTTTGCATCCAGTCCTGGGCCCAGTCTTTGAAACAGTGCTACCCATATTCAGAGTGAATTTTGTCACTTCCATTAACCCATCTCTTACAGGCATGCCCACAAGTCAACACAATTCAGAGAATTCCTCTTTCATACTCTGATTCTAGATTTTACCAAGTTGACTATTGAAACTAATCATCAAGGGGCATAGAGAGGCACCTCAGCAGTTAAGAGCTTTTATTGCTCTTCCAAAGGACCTGGGTTCAATTCCCAGCACCCACTTAGTGGCTAATGATTGTCTATTACTATAGCTCCAGGGGATCTGATGCCCTTTTCTGTCCTTTACGGGCACCAGGCATATATGTGGTTTATAGACAAGCATGTATGCAAATCACTCATGCACAGAAAACAATAAAAATATATTTTAATTCTTTTAAATAAAAGAAAATCACCACCATGCCATCTTAATGTTTTTGAGACAAGGTGTCTCATGGAACCCAGAACTCGATAACTGGCTAGGCAACCAGCTGAAGAGTTCCAGGGATCTAATGCCACTATCCCTTCCCCCAGTATTGAGGTTAATACAGTACTAGGGCAACTTTTTCTTTTTTAACATAATTTCTTTATTGAATCTTTGGGTATTCACATCATGCACTCCAGTTCCACTCACCTCCCAGTCCCTCCATATCCTTTCCTTCCCCTGAAGTGCCCCCCAATGAACATTAAAAAAATAAAAACAAAACAAAACAAACAAACTCAAAGAGAAAAACAAACAAAAAAGAACAAAAACAAAATAATAACAACAAAACCCTCTTTATTCCTCTATCGTTCCTGACATTCCAACACCTCTTCATTTGTCTTGGTGGCATTGCAAGCCTCAGTATGTCACACAGTATATATACCCTTTTGTCCAGTACCTCAGTGCTTGGAGTCAGGTCCTCAGGCTTGAATAACAGTCACTTCACAGAGTCATCTCCCCAGTCCTTCCTTTCTGTTTTAAAAACTGGATGTTTTGATATGACTAGTAAATTTCTTATGTGCTCAAAGATTTAAGCAACAACAACAAAATACAAGTAGTAGTACATCCATATCTGTAGTAATTTACAGGTTCAGTTATTGTAGGCATGGTATGGGAATAAATCTGCCAACTGCTTTAACTAACTTCCTTCCCTTCCCTCCCTCCCTTCCTAAGTCTGAACTCTGCTTCCTTCTTTGTTACTTCTGTCTTCTACCATGGGATAATGCTGCAGGAAGACCTTCACTAGATGTCAAACAGATGGCAGCATTATGCCTTGGACTTCCAGCCTTTAGAGCTGTGATTGAATACATTC